TTGTTTGGGTCCACAGTGCTCTCTAGATGTAGGTGAACTACAACTCCAAAATTTAAGGTCAATGCCCACCAAACCCTTCTAGTGTTTTCTGTTGGTCAGGGGAACCCTGTGTGCCAAGTTTGGTTTAATTCCATCACTGGTAGAGTTCAGAATGCTCTTTGATTACAGGTGAACTATAAATCCCAGTGACTACAACTCCCAAATGACAAAATCATAGTTTTTTGAGTGATGGTCACTCCTTGTGTGGTGAGACGTTTTGTTGCCAAATTTGATGTGATTTCGTTCATTGGTTCTTTTGTTTTTAAGGCACTCATTACGCACAGAGCATTTATATATATAGATAGAATCATAGAATCATAGAATCAAAGAGTTGGAAGAGACCTCATGGGCCATCCAGTCCAACCCCCTGCCAAGAAGCAGGAATATTGCATTCAAATCACCCCTGACAAATGGCCATCCAGCCTCTGCTTAAAAGCTTCCAAAGAAGGAGCCTCCACCACACTCCGGGGCAGAGAGTTCCACTGCTGAACGGCTCTCACAGTCAGGAAGTTCTTCCTAATGTTCAGATGGAATCTCCTCTCTTGTAGTTTGAAGCCATTGTTCCGCGTCCTAGTCTCCAAGGAAGCAGAAAACAAGCTTGCTCCCTCCTCCCTGTGGCTTCCTCTCACATATTTATACATGGCTATCATATCTCCTGTATAAATATGTGATAGATTAATTAATATCTGCCTTGGTTACTTTCACCTTGCAAAGCACAGCAACGTCCCTTTTGTGGTTTGGAAATCCCAGTTTTGCAACTATTGACAGGCCTCCAACACTGCAGTTCTGTATTTTTTAGGCCTGATTTACTCATGATTTTAAGAGACAACTGCTAGATAGGCTTAACAGGAAAGCTGGTCAAAGCATACTGCTGTTTTGCTTTCAAAGGTTAGTTTCACATGATGCAAGACAAGAGCACAATATCCGTTACACAAGTGGATGTGCAGCCTCGATGTGTCAAGACAGAGATGCTGCAAAGGAACTAAGAGGCTTTATTTAATAAATCAGGAGATATTGGTAGTTGTGACAGCTACATAAAACCTTCATATACAAAGGCAAGATACCTTTGAATTTCAGTGGCTGGAAGCAAATAAACAATGAAAGCTGTCATCTCTGTATCACTGCTTGACCAGCTTCCAATGGCCAGTCTCAATAAACTTTGGTATAAGGGGGTAATTTCTTAAATTCCTTTATGGCAACGATTATGACCTTCTAGACTGCCCCCCATGGGTACCAAAAATTGTGGCTGCACAAGACTTATTATATACAACTAGCCATCCCATGCCATGCGTTGCTGTGGCCCAGTCTGTGTATATGTGTTTTTGTGTGTATATATGTGTATATGTGAGTGTATATATTTTTGTATATGTGTGTATATGTGGTTTTGCACATGTGTTGTAATGTATTCATTTATTTATTGACTTTTAAAGTCTCTTCTGCTGTGTTTTCCAGAGTTTTTATGAGTGATGGTCACTCATTGGCCTGATAGGTGTCTTGTGTCCAAATTTGGTGTCAATTCATCCAGTGGTTTTTGAGTTATGTTAATCCCACAAACAAACATTACATTTTTATTTCTATCTATTTATATGGTGTAGTATATGAACTATCTGTAGTTATACAGTGGCATTTTAGTATATGCTGGGTTTTCATTCCAGGACACACACCCCTACAAGGATACAAAGTCCATGGACACTTACATTCCATTATATACAATGGTTATACAAAGTAAAACAGGATCACTTATATAAAATGGCAAAACTAAGGCTTGCTTTTTGGAATTTTACTTCCAATATTTTCAAGCCATGGATGACAGAATCATGGATATAGAGGACCAATAGTACTACAGTGAACAGTATTTTGAAAAGTCAACATATTTTTCTTTGGTAATGGCTGTTCTGCCAGTTCAATATTTAGGGCCGTTCTCATTGTACACCAATAAAGCTTTGTTCTACTTTTAACTGTCTTGTTAAAGGGAGATGTTGACAAGCTGGAATGTGTCCAGAGGAGGGTGACTAAAATGATCAAGGGTCTGGAGAACAATCCCTATGAGGCTTAAAGAGCTGGGCATGTTTAGCCAGCAGAAGAGAAGATTGAGAGGAGACACGATGAGGGCCATGTGAGGGGGTGTCATAGGGATGAAGGAGCAGGCTTGTTTTCTACTTCCCTGGAGGCTAGGATGCAATGGAACAATGGCTTCAAACTACAGGAAAGGAGATTCCACCTGAACATTAGGAAGGAACGTCCTAAATGTGAGAGCTGTTTAGCCTTGAACTCTCTGCCCTGGAGTGTGGTGGAGGTTCTTTCTTTGGAGGCTTTTAAACAGAGTTTGGATGGCCATCTGTTGGGGGTGCTTTGAATGTGATTTTCCTGCTTCTTGGCAGGGGGTTGGACTGGATGGCCCATGAGATCTCTTCTAACTCTATGATTCTATCTTGTGAAACTCTGAGATTTGCAGCAGTCCAAATTCTCAGCTAGATAGTCCAATATTGGACTTCAAAGTCCAATATTCCACAGGATGCAATCATGGCAGCCAAAGTGGAATTAAAATGCTATAATTGTACAGTGTGAAAAGGCTCTTTATGTTTCATTCGAAAACCAGAGAAGCACATTCTCAGTCATACTATTGATGGGACGTTTTTACTGTTCTATAGAAAAGTCAGTGGTGTCAAGAACATGATGTCACTAAAGGGTTTAGTCATTTAAGCAACAAAATCATTACTTTCAATTTAGCTGAGTCCCTCAAACCACAACAGATTGGAAATTCATTTCTAAATCACCCCAGTCCTGGGTAAAAATATCCTTAGTAGTCCATCATATTCATCATGTATTGATGAGAAAGAGAACCACTAAAAAGTACTATATTTATGTCATCTAATTTAATTGAATTGCAAACATAAGTAAAGGGAAATGTTTTCCCTTGACATTAAGTCTATTCATATCCGACTTTGCAGGTTGGTGCTCATCTCCATTTCTAAGCCGAAGAGCAGGCGTTATCCATAGGCGCCTCCAAGGTCATGTGGCCGGCATGACTGCATGGAGCGCCGTTACCTTCCCGCCGGAGTGGTACCTATTGATCTACTCACATTTGTATGTTTTCGAACTGCTACGTTGGCAGGAGCTGGGCCTAACAGTGGGAGCTCACCCTGCTCCTCAGATTCAAACCACTGACCTTTCAGCCAGCAAGTTCAGCAGCTCAGTAGTTTAACCCACTGCACCACCGGTGGCCAACATACACAGGGAGTATAAAAACAGGAATTGGTAATTTTATGATATCAGGTTGTAATAGATATGAAAGCCTTTCAAAATTGTTTAAACAACAAAATTCTATTTATTGTCAAAGGCTTTCTGGCCAGAATCACTGGGTTGTTGTAGGTTTTTTCGGGCTATATGGCCATGGTCTTAGAGGCATTCTCTCCTGACGTTTCGCCTGCATCTATGGCAAGCATCCTCAGAGGTAGAGGTCAATACACTACCTCTGAGGATGCTTGCCATAGATGCAGGCGAAACGTCAGGAGAGAATGCCTCTAGACCATGGCCATATAGCCCGAAAAAACCTACAACAACCCAAAATACTATTTTTCTCATATCTATACATTGTTACTATATGGAGATCCAGTATCTCAACCTCAAAATATTATCTTCTCAAACAACAAAACAAACAACAAAAACCCAATTGTATTTAGCACCAATTATGTGGAAAACTCTTCTGATCATTACTTCTTTTCATTGTGAACACAGCTAGCCTGATCTAGAAGATACATGCTTCTTTGCATGATGAGCAAAATGACACTTTTTTGTGCTATGGTCCTTTGTAGAAGTGGTTTGATTCAATAGGATCTTGGCCCAAGGATGCTGTGATAAATGCAGAATTTTAATAGCTTCATCTTTGTTTTGTCCTTATTTTAATCATGTGGCTGTCCCTTACTGACAAGGACTTTTGTTATAGGCAAGGGCAAAGGATCAAATTATTAATTCCAATCTGAATTTCCTAAGTTTTTTCCCCTGAATCAATATGGCTTTCTTGTTTTAAAATGTAACTTTGCAATTTGAGTTGGTACTGAGTTCTATGGCTGTCTGAGCTGCATGCGCAATACCAGATATTATGACATCACTGGAGATAGCAAGTGATGCATGTCTTTGCCCTCTATCACCTCTGATCTACCACTTTTTAAAAATAGTTTTTGTTTCTCTCTCTTTTACATAGGAACTTCTTTTGAGCCACACAACTGTAACTTGCAAAACAAGACTCGTGAAGGTTCACAAACTAATAAAGATGAATAGCTGAATGCAAGTGAAATTGGTCCCCTCCATTGTAGTAATCTCTTGCCATAATGAAATATTTCCCTCTTCTTTCTTAAATGTAAGGATGCGGATCCTAATCTCTCAACCTGTTGGTACCCTGGTGTTTTGGCTTACAACTCCCAAAAATCCCAACTAGTTCACCAGCCGTTAGGATTTCTGGAAGTTGGAGGCCAAAATATCAGGATACCCACAGGTTTAGCACCAATCTAACACAAAAAAAATGAATTTTAGAAATTTTAGAAATTTTGGTATTAGAAAGGGAATACCAAGCTAACTCTCTGCTAAGTTTCAGTACAAGTGTTCTTACAAGTGTACAGCAAGTTATTATCTGCTATTGGATCTCAGCTAAAGCAAAAGCAATAAAAGAAGGGAGAACTATGAGGGTAGGCCCTTCTGATGGTAAGCATACTTCAGCTGGATAAAGGTTGGATCTACGCTGTCCTATATTCCAGGATCTGATCCAGATTATCTGTTTATTCCAGGTTATCTGGAAGTGGAGACTCATATAATCCAGTTTAAATCAGATAATCTGGGATGAGATCCTGGGATATAAGACAGTGTAGAAGAGACCAAAGTCAACCAGGTGTTCATAAGTTAATGAAAGCTCTCCTGAGAAAAGAGGGCTCCTCGTCTACTGTAATTGTAGCAACTGTGCTTACGCCAGGCTCTGAAGCTCTTCTTCTGGACTGCCATGCCTCAAGCGGTCCTGATTCTCCTGCTGGATGGTCATCCGCCTTTCCTCTTCCATCTTGGCTTTGCCCATTCGCAACACCTGCCAGCCTTCTGCTGCTGCTTCTTTTCAGGGTACCACTGGCCGCAGAGAGAACAAGCAAGGAAGAAGCAAGCCAGCTGGCATCCCTTTGCTTCAGATTCTGGCTCTTCTCTGTGAAGAGCAATCCATTTCTCAGCAAGTTGGTGTTGTTTCTGCTGCTGCACAAGGGGAATGAGGAAGTGAAAATGACAGTCCCTCCCTGCCAGCACCAAAAGGACCTTCCCTTGCCTCTCCAGTTCAGGCAGACAGAAGAGAGGAGGACGTCAGGAGAATGCAGCCGGGGCTGTTCCACGCCTCTTCTGCTGTTGTGTGTATGTAAGCCAGGGGCGTTGCCTGAATAAGTTTTTGCCAGTGTGCCCAAAGGTGTACACAGGTGTGTAAGAAAGAACACCAACAACCCAATCCTTTGCACAACTTTTTTTTTTACAGTAATGCTTTTGCTGCAGAGAAACCAACAGAAGATAAAAATGCTAGTCTATGTTTGTTTTGAGTTTAGGCACCGAAAGAAGGAAGTTTGTTGCTCCATGTTCTGGGTTTCTAGTGTGTTTTGAATTAGATCACAGTGTCAGTTTTTTGTTGTGTGCCTTCAAATCATTTCTGATCTATCGCTACCCTAAGGTGACCTGATCATAGGGTTTTCTTGGCATGATTTGTTCAGAAGAGGGTTGCCATTGCCTTCATCTGAGGCTGAGAGTGTGAATTGTCCAAAGCCACCCAGTAAGCTTCCATAGCCAAGCCGGGACTTGAACCCTGGTACCCCAATGTCCTTGTCCAGCACTCAAACTGCTACAGTACACCATGTTGTGGCTCAAACCTCAGCCTAGGGCAGCATTTCTCAACCTTGAGGCTGGAACCCCTGGGAGGGTCAAGAGGGGGTTTGAGAGGGGTCACCGAAGACCATCAGAAAACACAGTATTTTCTGTTGGTCATGGGGGTTCTGCATGGGAAGTTTGGCCCAATTCTGTTGGTGGTGTGGTTCAGAATGCTTATTGATTGTAGGCGAACTATAAATTCCAGTGACTACAACTCCCAGATGTCAAGGTCTGTTTTCCCTTAAACTCCACCACTGTTCACATTTGGGCATATTGAGTATCTATGCCATGTTTGGTCCAGATCCATCATTGTTTGAGTCCACAGTGCTCTCTGGATGTAGGTGAACAACAACTCCCAAACTCAAGGTCGGTGCCCACCAAACCCTTCCAGTATTTTCTGTTTGTTAAGGGAGTTTTGTGTACCAAGCGTGGTTCAATTCCATCATTGGTGGAGTTCAGATTGCTCTTTGGTTGTAAGTGAACTATAAATCCCAGCAACTACAACTCCCAAATGACAAAATCAATCTCCCCCCACAATCCCACCAGTATTCAAATTTGGGCGTATCGGGTATTTGTGCCAAATTTGGTCCATTGAATGAAAATACATCCTGCATATCAGATATTTACATTACGATTCATAACAATAGCAAAATTACAGTTATTAAGTAGCAATGGAATTAAAGTATGTTAAAAATTGGGCTGCTTTACAGCTACTTTGGGGAAGTGACTAAAATGTCATGCTTGGATGCAAACTTGCCTAAATTTAACTTCCCACAAAGCCATGGACAGAGTTTGGAAATGTTACTTCTTTAGACTGCAGCCCCCCAAATCCCCAGGTTGGCATGAATTTTATTGGACAGCCTTGGGCATCTTGCAGTGTTCCTGCACAATCTTCATTGCAGGATTGCAGTAACGATAAAAAGCCACACCTCATATATGTCACCTCGAATAATTTGCAAGAACAAACAGAACAATATGATGAAAACATGTACAACTGAACAAAAAGTATATTTTTGTGAGTAGTGTAACACCAAATGAAAGGCTTCTTCAAGAGTGTGAGGCTCAACATGTGTATCATGCTATTTATTTATCGTGTCATCAGCAACCATACCATTGTATTACATTTCTAACAGAGCAAAACAAACACACAAATTAAAAAAAACACAGAGATTTTGCAAACTTGGTAGTTGGTTAAATGCCCTTTGACCATGCTGAACTAAGGCTTGTCAAATCAAACAGAAAGCTAAAGAGGAGAACTAGAAAAGAAAGAATCCAGGAATCGAAAGAGACACAAATTTTCCACCTTAGTTATTTGGTATTATTCTCTCTTGAAGTAGCTTCCACCTTTACTTCTATTTCAGTCCTAGAATTTTCATAAAGTGTATGGTGAAGAGTTTATAAAACCACTTTGGTGAATACAGTTCTCATTAACATACTTTCCTATTAAGAGAAGTTGACCTGGATTTTCCCGTCACTATTTCAACCAGTGTTACATAAGCAGAAGCATTTGGGTGTTTTTCTCTTTCACTTCACCTCCTGCCTTAGCTTTCTTTTCAGGTTTTACACAAGAACAAAACAGACACAAGAAAACCCCAAATCTGCCCACGTAATCACTGGCTGGACTTAACAAGACTTCCCTCTCCACGTAAAAAAGTTTTACAATTTGACACACTAATTCCATCTTGGACTTTGGAACAGATATATTTCGAGTTTCTATTTCTGCTAATTGTATGTGGTTCTGTGTATTGTCGAAGTCAGGCCCGTAGCCAGGATTTCGATTCGGGGGGGGGGGGGCTGAGTTTGTTTGGGGGGGGGGCTGAGTCTGAGTGAAAGAGGGTCTATCCTAGCAAACCTTTTGTATCGTTACCCCAATACCCCCATGCATATGGGATATATTGAGCATGGTGATCAGATCATGATATGAATAAACATAACAGTTTAAATAATGCACCAGTAAGGCCTTTTCGCGAACCACCATGAGAATTTGGGGGGGGGGGGGCTGAAGCCCCCCCCCCCCCCCCGGCTACATGCCTGTCGAAGGTTTTCATGGCCAGAATCACTGGGTTGTTGTGAGTTTTTCAGGCTGTATGGCTATGTTCCAGAAGCATTCCCTCCTGACCTTTCACCTGCATCTATGGAAGGCATCCTCAGAGGTTGTGAGGTCTGTTGGAAACTAGGAAAATGGTGTTTATATATCTGTGGAATGTCCAGAGTGGGAGAAAGAACTCTTGTCTGTTTGAGGTAGGTGTGGCCACTTTGAATAGCATGTGGTTCTGTTTCTGATTATACTTTCCCGTCTACAAGCTTTTGAAGGGGGAGTTTAAAAAACAAAACAAAATAAAATCTTTGTCAAAGACCATGTTCATCTCAGGTTTGATAGCTTCACTTAATAATAATAATAATAATAATAATAATAATAATAATAATAATAATAATAATATAATTTATTTCTACCCTGCCACCATCTCCCTGGAGGGACTCTAGCCAGTGGTTCTCAACCTGGGGTTCCCAGATGTTTTTGGCCTACAACTTCCAGAAATCCCAGCCAGTTTACCAGCTGTTAGGATTTCTGGGAGTTGAAAGCCAAAAACTTCTGGGGACTCCATGTTGAGAACCACCGCTCTAGGCAGCTCACAAAAGCACTCAAGATGCAAACACATAAAATACAATAAGTATTGACCAATATTACAATAACAATAACAATCCACATAAAATTATAAAATCCCACTGGTTAAAATACCAATAAAATGCAACAGTTGCTGCAGATATAAACAAATTGCAATCAGTATCAGTCCATAAAGTGTGAGGTGAAATAAACACCAGTCCTAAAATATAATCAGTAAGGATTCCTAAATAAGGTCAAAAGCCTGTTTGAACAGCCAAGTTTTGGTTCAAGAGTCTTGGAGAGTGGGGGCTAATCTAATCTCGCTGGGGAGGGCATTCCAAAGCCTGGGAGCCACCACCGAGAAAGCCCTCTTGATCCCACCAACCACGCTTGAGCAGGACCAAGAGAAGGGCCTCCCCAGCTGATCCCAAAGGAGATGCAGTCTTGAAAATAGACTGGACTTGAAGTATATAGGGATGTATAAGTAATGACCTGCACTTTGAATTGAGTCTGGAAACTTATCAGCAGCCAGTGGAGCTGTTTTAATAGGAACATCGTATGCTCTCTATAATTGGCCCCAGTTAATAATCTGGCAGCTGATCTTTGCACTAATTGCAGTTTCCTGGTCGTTTTTAAAGGCAGCCCCACATAGAATGTGTTACCGTAGTCCAATCCAGATGTAACTAAGGCATGGATCACTGTGGCCAAGTCAGGCTTTTCGAGGTATGGCCACAGCTGGTGCACAAGTTTCCTGATTCCAGGAAAGCATATTAAAACAACCGCTGTATTACCAGTTTTTAATAATTTGTATGATTTTAATTATTAATTTTAATTAGAGTGGAAACATATAGTATGAGGAAAGTATGAGTGGCTGTATGAAAGAAGCTTTTGTCCCTTTAATACCTGCAAGTGGAAATTTCAATAGGTGAAACCTGTCATGCAGACTTGAACTGCTAACATTTCCTCTTCTAAACAGCTATTAAAGGCACACAAGATTTGTCCTCATTTTTATGTGCATTCACAGACAAAATAAGTACAAATATTCACATGTTTATTGAGGTTTGTATTTTATGACTGCTTATAAAAAGCCCAGTGTCTTTCAATTGTTATATAATTGTATATATAGTTTTGTTATGTGGCCACAAAGAAATTTATACATACACATATATACACATACACACATAGCACAGAGGTAATTTTTTAATACAGACAGAGACTCAGATAATCTTATAAACCACAGACAAATAACAAATACATCAATTCTAACATTCTTTGTGGTTCTTCTTTCTTGATGCTAAAGTTGCTTATATCAAAAACCTGAAGAAAATATCAATCGAGTAAGTACTGAGCAAAGATAAATGGTTCACCAGCTCAGCTTGGGGTCCAATTCATTACGGATGCTCATTCCTCAAATGCTAGCTTCAATATACACATGAAGCTTTCTAGCAGCAGGAGATTTATTGGCCTCCATCCCAAAACCACAGGTTATCTGTGGGATTATATCTTGGATAGAAAAAAATTTCCTGAGACTAGCAACTCCATCCATCAAAACAACCGTGTTACTAGAAAGCAAGTAGCACTTCGTTGTAGTTTGTAAAAGTTTAACATTTACAAGAAATAAATTTATTCTTTTTTCAGTGCAATTGTGATTTCAAAATCACTTTTATAGTTTACAGTGACATCAAAAGTGATGTCACTAAATGGTGGCAGAGGCCCGATTCAAAGCCTGGCTCATGCCATGTTTTGTGTTCTGTTGTGCCAACAACAAAATAGATGAAAAGCGAAGGCATTTTGTATTTGAATACACCATGCCCTCATCATAAGCTTCAAATGGAA